TATCTCATTTCATTATAAAATTGTACTTTTGAGTCTTGAGTAAATATGCAATTATCCCATTTTTTAAAATTGCACTTCCAAATCCCATTTTACTATTTGAATTAAAATACCTATAATATTTATTCTATCAATTCAATTAAGTTCCTAAAATTTTAAAACTTTTTTAAAATATTAAAAATCTTTGCTAGAAAATTTCGGAATGTTACAAGCATGTTTTTTACCTTAGTTCGAAAGGACAACCATATGGACAACACCATCCGATATTTTTTCCTCTTCCATAGACTGCTTATTGGATCTGCTAAGGTAGCTTTTCAAGGATTCGATGCATCTTTGTTTAATACTTACAAGGCGTTCCTTGGCCATTGTTCTGGTTTTTGGAGCCCATGAACTAAGATAAGAATTCCCTAACCAAGACATTCCAATTTTTTATAGACCTTTGGTGCAATCTTCTAAACTATCTTTGAGCTTTGTCCTCTAATGCTAAGGGAAAAACTAGACACATGATGGCTTCGCTAGATTCTTGTAGTTCCATTGTAGCCGATGAGTTGAGGCATTTTTAACTTTTTAAACAATGGCTCAGCTAATATTTCTTTTGTGAAAAGAGAATGGCGACCAGTAAAGTACTCATCAAAGGAACTCTTGCGTTTGGCCTCCACGTTGGCTATGCTTTTTTAGTAGGTTCATCTCATGTCATTCATTTTTTGAGCTATCTCCTTTGAGGGGATTGATTCTCCTGCTTTTAGGTGATGGTGATCGTTGGGAGCCCATTCTATCGAAAACCCTTCCAGCTTTTTTGTGAGTCCTTCTTGTTGGAGGACTATTTCTTATCTCATTCATCCTACTCCCAGACGACTGTTCACCTGAGAAGTTAAGACTTCTCCTAGTGGGGGATCTGCCAGTTCGTTCTCGAGTTGGAGATTCCACCTTAGTATCAATTGGAGGCTCATTGTCAATTGGAGGAGTTGTGGACCTGCTTTCTTTCCATTATGCTATCTATTTTAGTGAGATGTTCTATTTCTTCCCTCATTGCTGCGAGCTAAGGTTTAATGTTTTCGGCAGAATCATTTTCATTTGGAATTTGTGAGGCATATTTGTGACGCGAGAGTTAGTTCGAGCTGGATTTCTAGAGGTCGAATTGTTGCTGATGGTGAATTTTTACAAGGTCCGAACTGTTGGCATCAAAAAATGACTAGGCCACTTTTTGTCAACTTAATTGATGATTTAGAAGAGATAATTTGAGCTGAAATGTGTAAATTGTGCTAAAATAGTAAAATATTGCTAAAAAAAATAAGAAAAGAGTGTTTTCGCAATAAATGGAAAGAGTTGGAATTGAGTTTCATGCAATGGTCGAGTTCGATCGCCATGTGAGACCATTATATCCCCATTTATAGTAGGGAATAGGCAAATTGGTTAGCGTTATATCAAATTAGCGACAGTACTTGTCTTAAGATGTGTGCCATCAATCTTGATTTTGATTGAGTGTTAAGGTCATTTCCCATGTGCCATGTGGGAGCTGAACTGAGTAGTAATCATTGTAAAGTTGTGATTGGCCACGATTGGAGGTGCCACATTATGTTTGCCATGTGTCCCTAAATGATTGGATTAGTTAAATGTCATGTCGATTTTGGAGTGAGGGAAATCAGCGTATAATGATGATATTTCCCAAATGATGGTGACAGTTCCTTCCTTTCGAAGATAAGTCGAGCCGTGATGGAAGTTGCACTGAGCCGGATTAAACTAATTTGAGTGCCTTGTTGTGACGTAATGAACTTTAAACTCAACTCAAAACCAATTTTAATTACTTTATTGAACTTTTGAAATGGAGGAGGTCAACAACTTAAATTTATTGACAATTTAACCTCCATGAGATGAAAATTAAAGGCCATAAAACAGTATATGTAACTAAGATACTTTTAACAAATCAATATCGTAGAACTTGCAATTATCATTTTTTTAAAACTAAATTTTATTTGTAAAGATAAGTAATTTTAAAAATTTATATTTAACTAAATAAGTAATACTTTTAAACCAGTGATGTATTAAAAAAAGAATAATTATATTCAGACCATGTTTTAATTGTATTAAAAGTTCTAGTATTTTTTACTTATTGTAACACTTCCATTAATTAACATATCTTGTTTTCATTGACATTTTCATCCAAATATCCCCTTAGTTTGTTTTAAAGTAATAAAGCAAATATTAGTTGTACTTTTGTATTTATTTTGTACTTATTTAGAAATGAAGGACTATTAATTCTTTTATGCTATCTTAACAGAATTTTTGGACGCAAACGGTTTTCAAAGACAAGATGTACTGATTAAGGAAATATTGTAGATTAAAGAATGAGATTAAAATAAAGTTGGGGATATAAATGTGATAATAAGTAAATGTTAGAAACATTTAATGCAACTATAATATGGGGAAAACTTCTAAGAAAATGTTGTGTCAATACATAGAAAAAACATGTCCACCATAAAATGAAATTGAGCCAACACACAAGGACTTGATGTGCAAATAAATGCGCAAATTTGCAATAGTCAGGGTAATTGGCGCATTTAGTCCCTAATCATTGTCCCTTGTGTGTAATTGGTCCCTAATGTTTCATTTTTGTTGACGAGATCCCATACCTATCACTTGCTTGCATAATCAGTCCTTATGGACGGATTCCATGTTTCCCACAATTCCAATATTCGCAATATTCCCTTGTTTTCTTGACCACGCCATTTCTTTGTTTGGTTTGCTTATCCTTGCCTTCTTCGTGCTCTCCAACATTTGTTTACAGTGCTGAGCTAAAGGATGTCACACGGGGCTTGACCAAAGCTGTTGACCTATAAGTGGAGCAATGGCAGGAAAGTATGTTCTGAGGTAGGCCTCTTGACCAAAGCAGTGAACATAATTTAGCAGGTCTTTGCTAGTTAACTAAAGACTAAAGAGATGACATTGCAAGTGTGAATGAAAAAACTCAATGGCTGCCAACATCTAAACGAACACATTAGAGTTCGAATATCCACCACATTAACAAAAAATGGTAGCAAAATTGTTTGCCTGGTATTGCTTTTTTTCATTTTTAAAACGGTGTTGGAATTATATTTCGGAAGTTTCTAATAAAGTATAGTTTTCGGATTTTCATTCCTAGGGATTGATTATTATTGGGCTGCTTATTATTGAATTGACCTAAATTAAAACTCCATTGGCATATGATTATGTGAATTATTCGAATATATATGATTGTCATATCATTCTGGTTTTTTGTGCATGAAAATTAACAGATGGCTGGTAGAATATGAGAAATGTAGAGAAACTGTACATCACTTTGTTAACAAATCAAAAACATTCTACAGCATCCATTCGGTTGCAACTTCTTTATAGGACACTGTATTCTCTGAGATTTTTCGGAAAGGTGTCTCCAACTTATCCGATTGGAGCTTCCGCGGTTCCACCCAAGCCTTGAAACCTCGTTTGGAATATAGTTTTCCCGTCGAAAAATGCTGCCGAGAACAGTTTTCTCCTGGAAAATAGGCCCTAACCATTTCCTTTCCTTTATCTAGAACAGGCACTACTAGGTTCACTGTGCCTACTAGAAATTGCTGATATTTTAATGTATGCACGTCTTCATCTTCTGGATAGTGGAGGAATAAATGGCGACGAACAGGTAGGCCCTTTTTCAAAGGCTTTCTAATGCAATAAACATTCATGGCGATAGATTTCTGTTCCAACTGCATCGAGTTTGTACCATCAACACTGAAATTACCTTAACTAGTTGGATCCTGTAAAACTTCCAAGCATTTTATATCTTGGCAAAGTGTGCGAAATGGGATAAAGTTCTGCGGTTGGAGTAGAACTGGCTGTTGCTAGTTGGTTTGTTTCCCTGATCGAAATGTCAGTAATTATCAAACAATTGTGAAATCCTGTGGCACTAAAAAGAGAAGAATAATAAAATTAAAAAAGTTGAGGTACTACTATATACAATGATGATAAGATGCCAATTTATTCGTTAAGTACAATTAGATTTGAAGTTGAATTTCCACTTTACCCTTTGAGCAACAACATATACAATATGCACTGAAACGAGCTCCTAGCATTATGATATAAGCAGATTTCTCATCATTCCACTTCGCTTCAGCTTCTTCCAAACGAGCCTTCACCTTCTCAAATAAATGGTGCACAGTGGCAGCTATTTCTATCACCTTCTCAATGGCCTCCTGCCTCAGCCTTTGCCTTTACCTACAATGGGATGTAAAAGAAAAAGAGCTTAGAGTATTATTCGATGATAAAAAAAGGAACAATAAAAGAAAACTCCCACCTTATCTGAGACCAGCATCAAGTGAAGTATTGACCTATTAGCATAGACACTAGCAACAATGCAAGACTCACACTACCAAAAACTGCGGCTTCTGAGACGGAATTTTCCGTCGCTGAAGTCTTAAATTCTGTCGCTAACGACTTTCACAAACGGAATAAATTAGTTGGAAAATCCGTCGGCAATACTTTCGCCGCTAATATAGCGACGAATTACTAGGTCGTCGGTGATTTAGCAATTAAAGAAGCCTTCGCTGTTTTAGGGACAAAATTACCTACAAATTATATCTGTTGATGATTACCAATGGATTTCCATCGCTGTTTCCGTCGCTAATATAAATTATAATATTAAAAAATATTTATGATTTTATTTTAATAATTATTTTCTTGAAAACTTCATACATTAAAGTTTAAACTGAAAGTTTAAAAAAAATAAAACGAGGTTTAAATCCAATAAAAGGTTTTAGCACTAATCCAATAATCGACCCATATGTATACTCCATGGTTCCGGACAAGCACAGCTGTAGCTTTGTGGTATGATTAAACTTTCAAAACAAGGATCAAAAATCATTTTCCATGGAAGAATTCCACTATTGGAGACATGGAAACATGGTCTCCAAGTCTTTAACAACCTAATTACATACATTTGTATAGGTATGCAAACTTAGATTTATAAATGCAAGTAAGATACTATTTATCACCTCATAGAGAAGCATGTAACCCATCCATTCTGAAACTATAACATCAACTTCTTCATCAATTTCAACATCCTGCAATAACCAGAATGTGACTTGCTACGTTTATCCTCTATTTATAATCCGCAGACAAATTATTCAAGAACTAGTGTAAGGTTCAAAACAAATGATCGGCATTACTTCTGTCAAACACGCAACTTCAAAAAAACAAAATGCATAACATTTTTAGTACAGCTAAAAATGCAAAACCTTAGGGATGTCAAGAACAAAACAAACTTAACTGCTATAGTAATTTCACTTCCAAAAACCATCTTCATTAACAGGGCAACAACCTAAATTAATATTGTATCCTGGCCTTATTTTGTCCACACCTGTACATAATAAATATTTCACATATTTAAAATTTTTTATGAAATTTTTGTTGATAAGCCTTCTAATAAATATTTCACTGCGACAGTAATTTCACTTCCCTTATAATGCCTTCAAAATTCCAATTTTATTTTATTTTTCTGTAACCACTACATTTCCTCTCAATATACCACTTGTTTAGTAAGAAACACTTGCTCAAGAAGTATCTATAAAAATAAAGATATTTGTTTGTTGGGGATTATATGAGAAGCTTCATGTAACCAACATACTAAATTTTGTTCCAAATAACTTTGGGGTTAGCTATATAAAATTCTTTTTGGAAACTCTATTTGATCCACATAACTAACTTCTACTGGCAGCAAAGAGAAGTTGCACCCAGTACATGAAAGCATCAATAAAGGTTGTAGGACATCGGGTATTTCATTCCCTACACTCACAAGCATAAGTACTAAATAGATTCATGGATATCAAAAGGAACCACAAGCACACTCCATCCATTATCGATGCCTATTACAGCCAAATCAATACTATACTCGTATAATTCTCAAAAGGGATACCAACTGCCTTGTGCTACAAAGAGAGATGATACAACAGCATTTAAACAACACCTATTGTCGAGAAACAAAATTAATTTAAATGAATACCTCTATGGCAATTTAAGCATATTGTTGGATTTTGGCAATGGAAATAGAGAAAGGTTTATCACGAATCTGCAGGAGCATCATCACCGGCAAAACCAGCCTGCAAGAGTAATATTAAACAAGTCCCTTGAAATTAATTACATAATAAATTGAATACAGAAGGCTAGAGAATTTAAAAATGTTTACGAACCTTCACCATTCCAGTTCCATTGTCACAAACAAGGGACTGAATATCATCACCATAAGCCATTTTCTATGAACTGAAAACCACAACATAAAACCAATATAGAAACAAGAGATGATAAAAGAAAGTACATGTACTATTGCGGTATGCACAAACAAGTACATTGCATAATCTGAAACAATGTCAGATTGCACGACAAGTTCTCGCGCTCCATAATGTATTGCACAGAGGGAGAAAAAGGAATAACATATTACATGTAACCTTCTTGTGAGAGAGAACTTTATAATTTATTTTACACATAAAAAGATGACAATTGAATTGTAAATTATAATTGCAATGCTAAGTACTAACACCTGATTTACGAGCGCGTAAAATTTGAATTAAAATTTAAAAAAAAAAAATACTGATTAATATAATGGATGAAGTACACAAATCTAATGCACAAATCTAATGCATTGTCTTCAAATTTAATACTGATTAAAATTTCAAAAAATAAAAAATAAAAAATTTATGTCATGTTGAAGTACACAAATCTAATGCATTGTCTTCAATACAATGCAAAACAGAACCAAAATCAATTTAAGAATATAATGGATGAGAAAAAAAACTGCAACCTAGTGTCATATGGAAAAAGGATGAGTGAAAACGACAATGCCATAGCAAAAATTTCAAAAAAGCAGATGAATACAAACATGAAAGTAACTATCATTTTGATGCTATTATACATTCCAAGTAGATAATTAGCATGATTCAAGCCTTGTGGTTGATAGTTTTAATGTTACAACACTGAGAATTGCAAGGTAAGTATTAAAGAAATAAAGGGCAACAGTCCGTTACCCTGTGCAAAGCATCATAGTTTTAGCCAAATCAAGTTCTGTTTGAACCCCACATATAACACTACATCCATCAGAGTTTTCATATCTATGACCCAGTTATGCATAATTCATTGCAGCAACATTTTGATGTCCTTTCAATAGATACGCATGATTCAAGAATGTATTCAAGGTTAGCAAAAGTTTATCATATGAGAATGAATAGCATAAAAGATCAGGAGAGGATAAAACTAAATACCTGGGCATGGAAGCAATTCATAAAAACTTGAAAGAGTGGTGTGAGTGTCCTCTGTAAATGGTGACTCTGGAAATTAATCAAATCTGGAACTCAACTGGAGAATATCCTCAGCAATATATCAATGTCGTCATATGGGAAAGATGGAACAAATACGAGATGGACAAATATTTGAAGGCCTAACCACATAACAATACTAAACAAAAATCTACTAAGGCTATTGGAAATTAATATTCAGGTCGATATGTGAAATAAGGATTGACTGTAACTGCTAAAACAGAAAACACAATAAAATATCAGATTCAATACTTTCATATGCTGATGTCAGAATGCTGTTGGAACAATCAGCTTAGATGTTAAAGGAACAATCAGCTTAGAGTTTTCATTATAAAGGAACAATCAGCTTAGATGTTAAGAACTTCCTATCTGAAATAGAAGTACGCGTAAATTAATTTATGATGGAAATTATTACATCTTGGAACAAAATTATAAATATGTGAATAAAAGAAACCAAAAAGAAAAATGCAAAAGGGACAATTGTGAGGGAAAGAAGGTTGAGAATTTATGGAAATTTAAAAAAAAATAAATATCGAATACATCAGAGGAACGTCAACATAAATTTATGGAAATTCTGTTAATGAACACTTCTTTCACATCAATTTATGATATTTATTCTATATTTTAGAGTTTGACAATAAGATGTATAAGTATGAATTTTGTGCCAGACTTTATTTATTGCAAGATAAAATAAATGTTAAAACTTTGAGACATCATACACGAGTTGACATTTTCTATCTATTTATGTTGTCTAATTTCCTATCCATCCAATTACAAATTGACACATCATGGAAAATTAAAATTGATATTAAAGTTAGAAATTTAAAACTGATGATAACTTTAATTTTCAATGATGTGTCAATTTGTAATTCGATGGACACTAAATTAGATAGCAAAATGGACAACGAATCTCAACTCCATATGATAGATAAAATAAAATAAAATTGAGAACTAAAGTGAAATCTTTAGAAGTTTTATTTGAGATGCTTAGAGCTCGAAGGTGCATCAGAATTGTGTCTACATTATTAAATATCAAATTGAATACATATCTAGAAATTTGAGAAGTAGTATTAAATAAATCAAAAATCATTTTGAAACTATGGATTCTCTCCAATTATCATAAAGTGTTCATTTTTATTTATTTATTTATTTGTAGAACCTACATGTACAAATATAATTCCTTAGTTCATTTATCCCTTGTAGGGAATGCTAGCCATTGTTTAGCAGTGATTGGCTAAGCTTTCATGCAATGTCTAATTAAACTCGAGCTCTAAATTTTTTTTTCCTTCTTTTCCTAATGACCTTTTACAGATGGATTTTCATTGGTTATTCTAGGAGAGACTTGGATGATGTGGGTGCAATATATATATATATATATATATATAGACACACAGAAAGCACATGCTGCTTTTGTATATGAATTTTTTGTATTGACTGTCTTGAAATTGGGCTTTGTTATTTTCTCGTGTTCGCGTCTTTCCATATATATGGTTATTTTTACTTTATTGGAGGGAAAGGGGCATTCAGTTGCACAAACATTTGAACTTAACTATTCTTTATCTAGACAAACACGATCATGGGTGATTTGTTCGTGTTATGTCTATATTTCGAAAACAATTCCTGGAATTAGTGAATAATATTAAGCCCTTGTTTAATCTCAATTATTTTCAAAATACATTTTTCTCTTTCTTTCTTTTTTTCAACCGTACATTCTTCAATGAAATAATATAACACACAAACACAAACCTTGTCCTTATTCCAAAATGCATTCATAGCTAAAAATGGGGCTCAAATAAGCTTTAAATGCACAAAATATAATTTCCCTCTTAATCTCTTCCAATAATTTTCATGAAAAACTATATGTAATCCTATGCAAGTGTATATTTATATGTTTGACTGATTGACTCACTGAGTGTGTTTTTATATAATGTTGCAACTTATCTTGCCTTTTGTTGAGTTGGATATAAACTACTATTACCTCGACCTTCCCCACAAGTAACCGTTCAAATTGCACAAGCTACTTTTAAGTATGACATCCCCTATTCTCGATTTTGAATAAATATTGAACTTCCAATAATTGGACTTCAACGTCTTTATAGTGGTCTGCAATATTTTTTTCCTCTCCGTTGAATAGACACTCAATTTTTAATGTGTTTTATTTCCATCGTATAAAGCCATTTGAATTAATATCAGATTTTAATGATCTCTAGAAGATAGTTTAATACATACATTATTTGATGCTTTTAGTTCTTACAATTTATCATTTGTAGTATGTCACAAACATGTAATGAACACACTCGTGTACAAAATAAACATTGGCAGTCATTCAAGATATTATGATTTGTCAATTGGCACTATGACAAATATGTGCAGTAACTCAATCATTCCAATTGAATATGGTGTTGACATTGCCAATGTTACAAATGATTTTACCATTGGTGACCCTGTGAGAGCGTTAGTTCCTCAAGAATCTTACGGAGGATTTACTAGGAGCACGAATCTAACCTTGCATGGAAATGAGTCCGCGGTCTAGAAAGAATTTTCAAACTGGAAAAGCGAATAATATTCTCTAAACAAGTGATACTTTGGAGCTGAAACTCTTAAAAAGTTGTTGAAGAACTATTCAAGAAGCCATGAGGTTCTACTTTTTACTTTTCAGTTTTCTTGCATTTTTTACTTGTAGTGTGGCTACTTGTGTGCCTGTCCATATTATTTTGTTCTATGTCTTCCTTTGCCCAATATGTTGCAAATTATCGTTGCTGGGTTCAATTCGAATTATCAATGCGTGTACCTATATAAAGAGATATCCTCTTTGGCAAAATGTGATATTCTGTATAATTATAAGTTTGGCTTTTCTTGAAGGTCATTGAACAATTTTGTACTTGAAGATTTGTGGTGTATTTACATCGAGTTGATTACTAAAACTTAGATCCATTTCATTAACGAATATAAAGTTCTCTTTCTTTTTGTTCTCAACTTCTAATTTTTATCCTATCTATCGGATCTTCAAAATACTTTTGTTTCTTACAATTTAAGCATTGTTTGAACTTTACGACTCAATGGAAGGGAAAACAAAGTGGGATCTTCTTGGTTGCAAAACATTAGATACATTAATGCAAGTAAACCCATACTCAACCAACCAACAAATGCTACTCCAAAGACATCTATATTTGAAATAAAACTTCAATAGGCTTGATCAAGAAACTTCGGCGACAAGAATTGGTGCTTCAACTTCTGAAGCGAGGGGGAATGCTACTAGCGTGAGAACAATAGTCATGAGGGATGCAAAGATGGGGGAATCGAGCTACATAGTTATGGTTGCAGTGGAGGATTGTCCAACTAATGTTCCTCTGATGGTCTACAAGGCTACCGGAAGACATCTAACCAAATTGCATCCCCAGTCACCATTATTGATAATTCTTCCAGGTCCTCAAATTTTTAATAGATTTCTTTATGCTTCTAATTTCAATTACACATCACTTGTATTTCTATAGCTTTACACAACACACAGTGAATGTACTTGGGCAACTAAGTGAATTTGAGCTTTTATTCTTCTCACTATTTTGTTGCTATCTTCTACTTTACTTTATATGCAAGTATACTATGTACTCTAACATATACATCTACCCATAAGTGGTCATTCAATTAGCACACATATCTCTCATGTATCCTTAACATTGAAGACCTTAGCATTATCTTCGAAATAACACAATGTTCGTTGCATGAGTAAAAAACTAGTTTCTTCAAAAGAAACTTGAAATTGAAGTTTAAATCCAGGACTTCCATTGCTATTTTATATGACTTTTAGTTACCTTACGAAAAATATTAAACTCGACATTGGGTTGATTAAATAATGCTATAAATAAAAGATTTAAAGTGGTATAGTAGTAGTAGTAGTAATAATAATAATAATAATAATAATAATAATAATAATAATAATAATAATAGAAGATTAAAAGTCGGTTGATTAAATAATGCTATAAATAAAAGATTTAAAGTGGTATAGTAATAATTAATAATAATCAAAAGTCGCATTTAAAAGGATGCGATTTAGATTCTGACCAGTTACCATTACCAGGAGCCAACCATCACAAGATCTTTCATAAGAAGACAAAACTCTCAAGAAGCTCCTTCTCACCATTGAGGCAGCCGATCAAATTGCTCCTCATCACCATCCAGTCTATTTCTTCTCAATTCTTTTACTGAAATAAGGTAAAAATATTTTCTTTTCTTTTGAAGAGAAACAGAAATTTCGTAGATTAATTACTGCCCTTTTGTGTTACATATTTGAAATATAAATACAGAAACTCTAAATTGACGAATTTGGTAACGGCCTTGGTGCCCTCATAACCAAACTAACATCCGTCTGAATTTTGTGTAGTTTTATTACTTTTCTTTTCTTTTTTTGTATATTGCATTAACCGGTTACGACAGTAGAACGAACCTGGAACCAAACTTTTTAATTTTGACGAAACAACAATCAGTATCTGATTTTTATGATTTGTTCTATTTGAATTTAAGAGAGAAAATAAGACAATACAAAGAGAAGAGAATTGTATTGAATAGTGTGATTTGTTGACAAGAGAGGTATCCTATTTATAGCTTAATTTGAGAGGAATGTTTTCCTTTCTAACCAATGTGGGACTAACTAACATTTACATTGTATATACATTGACAATCCCCCTCAAACTCAAGGTGGTAAAATGGAGACCAACTTGAGTTTGGAAACTAAATCCTCAAGGCGTCCAGGAGGGTGCGTTTTAGTGAAGATATCAGCAGTTTGATCGGCTGAAGAAACTGATAATAGTCCAATAGTCCCACGAGTGAGATGATGACGTATAAAGTGACAATAAATTTCAATGTGTTTTGTGCGTTCATGGAATACATCATTGTGAGCAATTTTGATAGCACTTTGATTATCGCAGTTTATGATAATGGCGGTAGAATGGGTGACGCCCATGTCTTCAAGTAACCAGCGAAGCCAAAGAAGTTCCTAAGTTGTATCAGCAAGGGCTCGATACTCAGCTTCTGTACTGGATCGAGCGACTATTGTTTGTTTCTTGCTGCGCCGAGAAATAAGAGAATCCCCAAGGAAGAAGCAATACCCAGTGGTAGATCTACGATCAGTGGGGTTACCTGTCCAATCTGCATCTGAGTAGGCACGAAGCTCGAGTGAAGAGTGAGATGAGAAGTGGAGACCAGGAAATAGGGTCCCTTTGATGTACCTGAGAATGCGAAGCATTGCAGCATAATGGGATGTGCGAGGAGCAAAGAGAAATTGACAGACAATATGGACAGCATAAGAGATGTCAAGGCGAGTAACTGTAAGATAAATAAGACTACCAACCAACTGGCGAAACAAGGTGGGGTCATCCAAAAGGTGTACCATCCATGGGAGTGAGTTTAGAGTTGAGCTTTAGAGGAGTGGTACATGTCTTACTATCTGTGAGTCCCGCTCGAGTAAGAAGATCAGAAGCATGCTTTGCTTGCGAAAGATAATATCTCTCAGAGTTAGAAGTGATCTCAAGTCCCAAAAAGTAACTAAGCTTTCCAAGATCTTTTATTTCGACATGTTAACTGAGATAAGTCTTGAGATTCAAAATTTCGGATGTGTCATCACCAGTGATGATCATATCATCAACATAGAGGAGAAGAAGGATAGTACCCTGGTCTATTTTGCGAATGAAAAGAGCAGAATCATGTGAGCTGGAAGTGAACCCAAAATTTCCAACAATGGTGCTGAACTTGGCAAACCAAGCTCGAGGAGCTTGCTTGAGACCATAAAGAGCCCGACAAAGTTTGCAGTCTTGATGTGGAAGATGATGAGAACCAGGAGAAGAGCACATATAAACTTCTTCAGTAAGTTCACCATTAAGAAAAGCATTTTTCACATCCATCTGAAATAATTCCCAATGACGGACGGCGGCAACTGCAATTAAGCTGTGAACTGAAGTGAGGCGGGCAACTGGGGCAAAGGTCTTCTGATAGTCAATCCCATACTCCTGGGTAAACCCTTTAACTACCAAGCGAGCTTTGTATCGATCAATGGACCCATCAGAGTGAGTTTTGATCTTGTAAACCCACTTGCACCCCATGGCTTGTTTGCCTTTTGGTAGGTCCATTAGATCCCAAGTGTGAGTGTTTTTGAGTGCCTGTAGTTCATCATTCATTGCTTTCTACCAAAGAGGATCAGAACTAGCTTCACGATAAGACTGAGGTTCATGGTGAGAAAGAATAGTAGAAAATACAACAAAGTCACGAAGATTAACAGAAGGAGTTTTTACCTGGTCACTTCGTCGAGTAGGGAGATCACAAGTCGTTGGAGCGGATCCATCAGAAGAGACAAGTTCCTTAGAAGAGGGCAAGGTGGATAACTCAATTGAGGTATTTGTAGACATGGTAGTTGGTAATGACATATCTGAAAAAGAGATATAATGTGTTGGTGGAGGTGTTGACTCAGAAGAAGAGTTTGTCTCAGGAGTGTCACGAAAAAGATCTGTGGAAAGGTCAGTGAATAGGATAGAGGTATTGTCATGTAACAGGTGAAACTTGAATATGGAGGCGAACATCTTGTGTTTCGAGAAAACAACATGACGAGATACTCAGAGACGTTTGGAGTAAGGATCCCAACATCTGTAGCCTTTGTGTTCAACACCATATCCCAAGAAGCAACATAGTCGAGATCTATATTCCAATTTGGTGCGCTCATGAGGTTGAAGAAGAACAAAACAAGCACAACCGAATACCTTAAGAGTGTTATAGTCATGAGGGTGACCATAAAGACGCTCAAATGGTGATTGATTCCCAATGATGGGAGAAGGCACGCGGTTCTTGGTGTAAACAGCTGTAAGAGAAGTTTCACCCCAAAAACGTTCGGGACATGAAGCAAATATGAGAAGAGCATGGACGGTATTGAGAATGTCTCGATGTTTGCGCTCAGCACGCCCATTTTGTTGAGAAGTGCCTAGACATGAATGATGAGGAAGAATGCCATGTTGGCGAAGAAAGGTAATGACTCTAGAGTCTGTGTCAGCACGAAACACTTTGATATTACAAGAAAATTGAGTTTTGACCATGGTAGCAAAATCAACGTACAACTGAGGTAATTCAGATCGATTACGCATACGAAATATCCAAGTGTAACGAGAGTAATCATCAATAAAAATTACAAAATATCTAGAGTCTCCCATAGTAGTAGTGGGAGATGGGCCCCAAACATCAGAGTGAATCACTTTTGTGAAATGGCAATGCCGATTGTTTTGCAAGTTAACAAGGAAGACAATCAAATTGTTCTTTATTAACAAGCCCTAAATAACCACTAGAAGCTAAAAATTGAAGATGACTAATAGAAGCATGACCCATACGAGAATGCTAGAGACTGATGGATGGGATAGATGAGACTGGGGCTGCTGTCTGAACTGATGAGGAGAAACGGGATGGAAGGTGAAGATTGATGAGCTCAAAGAGTCGTCTAACCTTACGGCCTATCCCAAGAGTTTGTCCCGTCTTTGGATCCTGCACACAACAACCAGAAGCAAAAAAGATGACAGTTAGACCGAAGTCACATAATTGACCAACAGATATAAGATTGAGGGTGAGTTGGGGAATACAATAAGTATCAGGAAGTGAAGTGTTTAATGTTGAGATTTTTCCGATATGACTCACGGTCATAAAAGAACTATCAGCAATTTGAATAGTCGAAGTATGATTAGCAAGATGTTTGGTGACAAATATAGTGGAATCAGGTGTCATGTGATTACAACATGTAGAGTCAAAGAACCAAGACGAATTACCTGAGGTGACTGACATAGCAGTAGAGGGTAAGTTACCAGAATGAGCAAGGACTTGTTTGACAATTTCCTCTATGTCAGAAGCGGAAAACGTCTCACTGGTAGTAGTGGATGATGAACCTTCAGCGGTAGTGGCGGCAGATCTAGAAGGAGTACCGTGAGACATGTGTTGTTGGGAGTGTCTGTTGGGGTTTTGGAAAGAATCACGCTGAAGATGACCAAGGGCTTGTTTCTGACAGAATTGGCAAACTCAAACCGGGCATTCCAAGAGAATGTGTCCTGGTTTCTTGCAGTAATTGCAGAATCTTGAAGATCCAGATGGATGCCCTTTGTTGTTGGGTTGAAAAAATCCAGATGGATATATTTTGTTGCTGGGTTGAGGTCCTCTAGGAGTGGCAAAGACAGCATCTGTAGAGATAGTCTTGCGAGGGGCAAGATGAGTTTCTTCCGAAAGAAGTTCAGTAACAGCTTGATCTAAAGTAGGTAAGGGACTGCGGTGAAGGAGAGATGCACGAACATGCTCAAACTCATTAGTGAGAGCCATAAGAAAGAGAACCAAGTGTTGCTGATCTCGATAGTTAAAATTTTTTTTAGCATCGTTGGCATCCGTAAACTCTGGTTCTGAGGAAGCAAGTTGATCCCAAACATAGTGCATCTCAGGTAAGAAATTATTAATGGATTGCCCAGGCTGTTGTTGTATACGATGTAGAGTGCCTAGAAGTTGGTATTGATGAGACAGATCTGCGGTGGTATAGCGTTTCTGTAGAAAATCCCATAGTGACTTGGTAGTGTTGAATCTACCAAACTGGAGACTGATGGAGTGTATGCATGTGTTGCGAATTCAAGTGATAATTTGGTGATTTTTGCTATCCCATTCTTCGAGACGATCTATGTATTTTGTGTTGTCTTCTCCAACGATTTTCTCTGGTTTGGTGATATCACCAGTAACATAGCGCCAGAGCTTTCTGCCCTTAAGAAAGCTTGACATAGCCTGAACCCATATAGTGTAGCTGAGTCCTTCCATGACAATGGCAATAGGTTGTGAGGCCTCAAGATGCTCCATAATGTGCATGAAATTAGAAGGAGATAGAGATAAAAATAACAGGAATCGAACTGAACTGGTTAGGAAATGATTGATGGAATGGTGGCTGAGATGATGTCGATGGAGAATAAGACTTCGACTATAGCGACGACCTAACATGTATGAAAATGATATACAAGAGGTTTTTCTGATGTGAAGGATCCACTAATAGTGGCAATCACAGAGCATACTCAACTCTTGATATATTGAGAACACTAAGAATAGTAGCTCTGATACCAAGTTGAATTTAAGAGAGAAAATAAGACAATACAAAGAGAAGAAAATTGTATTGAATAGTGTGATTTGTTTACAAAAGAGGTATCATATTTATAGCCTAATTTGAGAGGAATGTTTTCCTTTCTAACCAATGTGGGACTAACTAACATTTACATTGTATATACACTAACAGTTCTATTGTAAATTTGTTTTCCTAATTGCAATGTCGTCTATAAGGAAACATATTCACGAGGATTATATCAAGCGTGCACAAGCTTATCACCAAAAGAAGCAGGCTTTATGGGTAACTTTTGAATTCGAATTCAGTCTTCAAAATCTCTTTTTAGCTTCTATTCATTTTAAGTCACTATTTGCCTGCAGAAACTTAAGCTAAAAGCGGCATTGAGGAACCCAGATGAATTTTATTTAAAGAGGATCAAAATAAAAAATAAAAAAATTGGTATATTCTACAAGCCAAAGTGAGAACAAATTCTCTAAGCACTATTTCCTTATCTATTTCTAAAATTCTCGTTTCCATTTAATTGGACCTCACTTGTTGTATACAAATGCAGGAGCCGAGCAAATAAGTTTCCAAAAGATGATCTGAAATATATTTTGCTAAAAAAGGTTTGATTTATTTAGATTTCTATTTACTTTAAAGTATTGTATTCAGTGGCGGACGCAAGCTTTTTGAGTTAGTGGGGGCACGATCAAATTTACAAAAAAAAGTTGCAAAAATTATAAAAGCATATGATAAATATGTAGAAAACAAGCAAACCATATTTTAATCGAATATCTAGGCAACAATTTATTTTATTGTCTAGAGTGAAATATATGACGGAAAGCTATGTTAATTCAAGTCATTGACAATTTCAAACCAATGATTAACTAAATGAATTGTAATATCATTAACATGTAATATTTCCTCAATGTTTTCCATTTGCAAATTTTTTCTGTATTTTCTTAACCTACAAAGCACATAATTAGGATGTTCCTAGAACCAATATTTAGAATTAGGATGGTCCAGAACAATGAATGCACAATTTAAAATATTAGGTTCAGAATTTTGATGTATAATTGAGCAAATCTCACTTCAAAATCTAAGATAAATTAGAGAAATCCCAACAATTACATTTGAAAGAAAGAACCTTAAAACTAAACTGAATTGCAACATCAAAAGTGGGGTCAAAATCAATTAAAAGCAAACCATAAGAGACACATACCATGATACTGGCATTTTCTAAGCAGAGTCTCCAATAGCTTCAAACAAGTTGGGTCATCATCAACAGCAAGAACATGCAGACCCACTAGAAATTTGTCATAATTTCCGTTTTCAACTCTAATTTCCTCCGCAGTCATCTTTAGAACCCACAGATCAAAACACCCAAAACAGGGATCAGAGAGTCAAAAGTTGGAGTGTTTCACTCCGTAAGTCACTTTGTGGAATTCTTGGCAAAAATCCAATTGGCAAAAAGTAATTTTTAATACACAGAATCAAGAATTGATACAGTTTGGGAAGTGGGGCGGTTTCTTGGTTTCAGTTTGGTAATGCCAATGGAAGAGAGTTTCCATTGGAATCTGGACGGTTTGAATTGGAATTTGTAAGGACTCTTTGAACACATCATTTTCGACTCTAGAGGAGGAGGAAAAAAAAACCATTTTCAGCTAGTGGGTCACGTGACCCGCCTGGACCCACTGTGGGTCCGTCAGTGATTGTATTTATGTCCCCGTTCTAGTTATTGTTTTAAATGAACTCATGATCATGTGATGGATGCTCTCATAGTATACAAAATTATTAGCTTGTCATGGCTTACACTTCGTCTTTCCATCCAAAAGTAAAAGAAAACTTGTAAACCTAGAAACTCTCATACTTGAGAAGATTCATTTTACTAAAAAATAATTAGTGTTGTGATACAGGAAATTAAAGAAATAGATGCCGATATTGAAGCTAGGAAGAGCAAAGTAAATGAGTCATGAAAATTATTGGAGAATCATTTACAGGTAACTTTCCAACCCCATATTTGCTTAGATGGAACTTGAACCTTACAATTTATACCTGTTTGAGCCCCATTATAATCTAAGAATGCATTTTTGAATTGTAGATTGATAAAAAAATGTATAGTAGATGAGCGTCTAATAAATTTTAAGTAATATTATTATTTTGTGTTGATTTTATTCTTCTTCGTCAATGTTAATTTTAAAATATTTTTACATGATTGTAAACATTCATTTTTATAAACTTATATAATTTTATTCGAATCTCAATAAATTGTGAATCATGATATGAAGCATTTAGGTTATTGATGACCACAAACATATGCATATGTATGTCGGCAGCTTCAAATATAATGTCTCCTTCCTAGTTTTTGATATCTTGTTTAGTAATGTTATTTAGAATAGTTTATGTGGCAAAGGATCATTGATACATTATCTGATGATATTGGAATGTGTTTTCATACTTTGAACAATGTAGGAGTGACCTAATGTTACATAATTGGTACTAAGCATCAAATTTGTCAAATAACATTATTTTGTCAGAGTAATGATGCAATCTTTGTGTTTATATAAAATATTGGATGTTCGTATTCATCCTATAAATTCATGAATTTAAAAATTAAATAAAAAGCGAAACCAAAAAAGTAAGCAATGATCTCATTAATATTTGATGTGAATTCAACGTGATTCTCTTTAAATTCCTTTAACAATCATGCTATCAATTTCCAATTAGAGTTTGTTTGATTGTTAATATTTTTCATGAAAATATTTTTTTCACCCAAATTCCTACTTTTAGGCTGTTTGATTACCATTTTTTCATGGAAAATATTTTCCTACTTTTAGTCACCTGACCTCATTTTCCTCAAAATCAAGGAAAATACTTTTTTTTTTATAGAAAAAACAGGATTTTATTTTTCAGGAAATTAACTCTCTCTTTATGTCTATCATCTATCCATTCTCTCTCACTTACCTACCAATAAATACAAGTATAATATTTTTTGGGTTTGATTGACAATTTAATTAACAATTTTCATACAAATAAGTTCTAAACAATTAAATTACCTATAAATTTTTTTTCCATGCTTGCAATCAAACGTGCCCTTAATGTTAACTCCTTTAACAATCATGCTATCGATTTGCCGTTAATGTTGACCATCTTCATAATAGTTACAGACACTTTTCGAAATTGTTCCTAATATAAAATAATAATTTCACTTTAATATTTGTGATTAAAATAAGATTATTCCCTTGTTTGGTTCAGATTTTAATTCGACTAAAAATCAAATAATCAATATTAATCACATTTTCTATGGGTCCCACAACTTTTCAACCATACATTTCAAAAATATTTATCAAAATCTAATTTTAATCCCCACAAAAAAATAAATAAAACATTAAAAATAAGGGAGCTATTATTTTAATCCACAATTCTTATATACCTATCACATTTTAAATATATCCCTATCAAAATTTAAAAAAGTTAATTTCAATATACCCTCAATATACCCTCTTTATATCCACATGCACACCGTAGAAAACGTTAATACCTTTAGAAGTTGTTTGGTGGGATTAAAATTAAAGTTTTTTAGTAAATTGTGATAGATATTTTTAAAATGTGTGATTAAAAAGTTGTAGGATCCATGAAAAATATGGTTAATATTAATTGTTTGAGCTTGACTTAAATTAAAATCTAAACCAAACAGGCTTTTAATTTTTAACATTTTCACTAGGGGTGTAAGCGGTCTGGTTTTACCGATTTTTGACAAATTTTCAAACCAAACCGTTTAAAACGGTTTGAAAAAAATCCAAACCTAAACCAAACCATTTTGAACGGTTTGAAAAAAACTCAAACCTAAACCTAACGGTTTGGTCCGGTTTTAAACCGCCGGTTTCGCCATATAATTTTTTGCCCGTGTACTTTTATATCATTAATTCATTGAATTTAATATATATTTATATCTCACTAGTAATAAATCTAAAACAAATTAAGCCCTTGTTTGAACCAAATTTTTGGGACAAAAAAATGAAATTTTGGACCGTTATTCCACAAGTCCAGCTGTCTTTGTTGACCTGCTATTTTATGTGTGAGACCCAGCCTCCTCTCCAATAGTCAATTTTCTCATTATGATGATATGAAAAATATGGCTCAAATAGAAGCTAAATATATCTACTATAAATTTAAATATTAACTAAATCAAAGTGAAATCACAATAAACTAAAACATAGTTTTTTTTTTCATTTTTGTTCACCCTTTTTAGGCTAATGACAATTAAATAACGTTACAATACAAGTTTACTAAACTAGATATAATGCTCAAAAAATATAATGATACTGATTAAACAAAGAAAATAACCAACCACAATAATAAAGCAATTGTTTATAATATCTAAACATAACAATTACACAAGTTTACGTTTGTATGATGTTACGAAACACATTTAATTTCAAATTCTTACCTTAGTTTGCTCCAAAAAATTATTGATCTGAAACTTTATTTGTAGCAAATATTATCACCGAAGGTCTAAGATCTCTTTGTCTCCGATTTGGTATAATGAACTTCAATTCAACTTTGAAGAGTGTGAAAAATCTAAAAAAGAAGTGTATGGTGCTGGTGACTCAAAACTGTGTTGGGTGTCGACTGGAGTTCATCTAAATTTTGAAGAGGAAAAAAGCTTTTGATAGATTATGTTAGTCTTGAAATTATTATTATTATTATTATTATTATTATTATTATTATATATATATATATATATATATATATATATTAGGATTATTGGATGATGATAATAATAATATATCTGTATTATAAAATTAGGAATTGACAAAAATACTCACAAATGACAAAACTATTGAATTTTACATATTTGGATGAATTTTCAAAAAAATTCATTTTTTTCATTTTTATATTTTTTTTGCCGGTCCGATTTGGTTTTAAACCGCAATTAAAATTCTCAAATCTAAACCAAACCATTTTGACCGGTTTGGTTTGGGTCAAAACCATTTCGTTGACCGGGTCCACGTGGCACCAAACCGATGGTTTCTAAAATGCGGTTTCAGTTTGGTTTTTCGATTTTGCGATTTTTGCTTACAGCCCTAATTTTCACCCTTATTTTCACCTTTCATTGGGCTAAAGGACATTTTCATCAATTTTCCCAATTAATAGATGTGAAATGACTAATATATCATTCTATTTAAATAAAATAAAAAGAAAAAGAAAGAACTAATTGCAATCATCATCTCAAATTTCTTAAAAAGTGCAAAAGAGTCCTAAATAAATTAGTAAAAGGATAATTAGCACATACTATCTCT